ATAAGTGGGCTAACAATCAATCAAGACGTCTAAGGGATTGGGTTGGACCATGAGCAGCACTAATAAATTGAGCTACTTCAAATGACCCAATAATAGGTTGGAGGAATGGTTTGTTCGATTGTGGTGTCGACATTTCACTTCACTCATCAGTCGAGGCCTATGAAGTAGAATCCAACAAAATCGGTTTAACATCATCGCCCGGATTTATTGGGTATCAAAACCCAATAGATATATCTTAATGCATCATGTGCTGGAAACTCACCCTTCACTGATTCATCTAAAAATTCTAATGCTTTTCCTTCGTTCCAAGTCGTCCAGGCCTGAACAGATAGCAAATATACAACACTCATTTCTTAGTGTATAATTTGGTGACATCAAGTATTACGAGAATAATCTTAAAGCTGATTCCTTTACTTACACACTGAATAAGGTTAGGAAAGCCATCATTAATTCTTCTTCCACTGACAATCTCTAGGACAAGAACTCCGAAATTGAACACGTCTGACTTAAGTGAGAATATACCTTGCATGACACCCACTGCATACTAATATTAGACAAAGGGTAATTGGTGCAAAATGTCCTTACATTTGCACGTTTTTGTGCAAAACGTTCATACCTTTCGTTTTTTGGCGCAAAACGTTCCTACCTTTCACATTCTTTGCGCAAAACGTCATTTTGACCTATTTTTAACATAAAATGACTAAGATACCCTCCTATATAAATAAAACAAAAAATAAAAGAAAAATAAAGAATAAATTGCAATTTTACTCCTAATCTTTTTAAATAATACAAATGAGTCCAAAATTCATAAAAATATTAAAAATAAAAAAAATAAAAATGATCCCCTCTACCTTCCTTTAGCAACCTTGAACTCCGTCTCTTCCTTTTCAGCTTTGTGCGCCATTTTTACTGTTAGTCTAATTAACCTTAAGCTTTACTTCAACAATTCAATAACAATATGTGTATGTATATATAGATAAAACTAAGAATTGTAGAGAGATGGATTTGAAGCTGGTTTCCGTGGGGGATTTGAAGGGGAGAAGGTTGGCTACGGTGAAGGAATAATGACCACAAAACAGGCAATTTGTGGCGTATGAATAGACAAAAAATCCCTCCGGTAGTGGGGTGTTTCTAGATCCGCTACGACGTTTTATTTTTGTGCGAACTCACGAGTGTAGCCAATGAAATCAGCCAATCCGGTGCAACCCAGGGTCTGCAAGACCGTCATAACAATCCTTGGTGCCTTCCACGTGTTTTTTGACGAAAGGGTTGTTTCTATGGACTGGGTTTACATTGAGGAGCTGCAAATGATCTTTGGGGAATCTGACAAGTCCAAATTATCCCTCCCTCGTGTCTTCATCAGTGGCAGCTACATTGGGGGTGCTGAGGAGTTGCAATGGATGTTTGTCAGTTATACTCACCAATGAGGTAATGATCCATTAATCAAGTTAGAAGAGAGATCTAAAACTTGAACTGAATTAAACCCACTAGGAAGTGCATCAAATCGGAGGAGAAGGAGGTGAAGAAAGAGGACGAGATTAAGGAGCGTCATCGAGTACACACGCACTTAAATCGGAGGAGAGCTTCTTCATCTGGGGTCACCTGCTCCGCCTGTCGCCAGCATTGTTCTTCATGTGTCACCTTTTTCCCTCGCCACTCAACTTCATTTTCGAATTTCTGTAGATTTAAAGCATGCTTTTACACAAATAAATCTGATATTACCTTCAAGTTTGGTGCGAACAGGCTGATGAACACGTCCCCTTCTTCTAAATTGTTCCCAATTTTTTGGTGCAATAGCAAGAAAAAAACCCTAGCCGCTGGTTTGTTAAAAAAAAAAAAAAGGTTTTTCAAAAAGTGTGGACTGATTTGTATTTTTTTTAAAAGTTAAGGAGCAGATTACAATTTATTCTTTATTTTTTTTTCCTTTTCTTTTTTGTTTTATTTATATATAAGGGTATAACGGTCATTTTATGTTAAAAATGAGGGAAAATGACGTTTTGCGCAAGAAAATGCATAGGTTGGGACGTTCTGCTCCAAAAAATCAANAAACGTAGGGACGTTTTCCACAAGACCCATCATAGGTAGGGACGTTTTGCGCCAATTACCCTTTTATTTAACGGTGGATTCTAACGGGAGTTGGACGGAAGGACGTTTTGCGCAAGAAAATGCAAAGGTAGGGACGTTCTGCACCAAAAAATCAAATATAGGGACGTTTTCCACATAACCCGTCAAAGGTAGGGACGTTTTGCGCTAATTACCCTTTTTAAGTGATTAATTAAAATTTAAGTTACTATAAGCTTGCAGCATATAAAAATGTGTGAAAAACAAGTGATCAAAAATGTTTGAATGAAAAACATGTTTGATCTAAATACGTTGAATTATAGCACCCCAAAAAAACTCGAGAAAAGAAAAGTAATTTCCTTTTCCTTATTCACAAAACCAAACACTCCATATGTCCAAGAAAAGCTATGCCGTATGCGTAATGACAGTGGGACCTCTCCAATAATTCTGAACACAACCTCAAAAGTCAAAGTAAACTCCAAACCCTTGAGTCATGACGTCATGTCCTTAATTTCAATTCACGTTTTTCAACAAAAGTAAATTCTTAATCCCACATTAAACAAATCGTAAGAACCTAATTTCATTATCCAAATAAATAAATAATAAATTTAGCCCCGAATTGACATCCATTATTTTCAGATATTTTTTTTAGATATTTTTTAATCACACATTCAAGTAATAAAGCCCCAGTTTGTCATTCATTTTATCAAACATTATTTTCTATAGTAAACAATCTCCACCACATATTCACACAATAAAATATTGGGGGATTTGGTTAAAAGGGCCA